TGTTTTATGGCTTCATCAGCTTAGGTGACCCCGTGACCTTACCTTATCAAAGCTAGCAGATGAAAGGATTTCATGGATGGCAACAGAGCTAACACCGCCTCTTCTTTTTTGCAAAAAGGTAATTTTATCGATAGCAAAAAAGATGAAGAGAAGGGCAAAAGACCCCTGGCTTCATTACAATGCAGGGAATATGAAATTCACTCATTGCAATCATACATTTATATTCACTTGCACAGAAAATTATCATGAGAAGTGGACTCGCACAAATAATTTACAATTACTTTGAAGTGTAACAATGATATTGTAAGATCATATTGCACATCATAGAACATGATATATGAAATCAAACTTTGAGAAGCGGTGTGGAATACTTGCAATACATACTACATACGCGCAAGATTGGTTAAGAGCAGTAGAAATGATCAAAGGAACGATAGAGTACAACTACAAGAGGCTATGTAACTTAGCTGTTCGTAAATGATCACTTTAAGGAAACTGTCCACAATCACGCATTAGTTTCATCTGAAGGAAAACACTTTCGAATGATCTTTTTCACTTGATACTTCTTCTGTGAAGAAAGGTTGATTAAAACATAAGCAGTGTACATATGTAATTACAAGAGTCCAAAAATAATCTACAAACAAATGCACAACTTTGAGGATCACGGCAAATGATATATAAGCCAAGAATAAAAGCCACAGGAGATCACAGAAAAAAAGGATAGAAAAGAATTGCATGTCTTCCTTCAATAGTTTGAACTTGTTACTGCTTCCAAGAAGTGAGAGTCATTATGCTTCTTCAGTGGCTCCTTCCAGAAACTGAATCTTCCGGAAGCTGCAACAGCTTACCCTTCCCTTGGCTTCTGGATGGCGGTGCCTTTGGCACATAGGAACTGGTAATTGGTTTTTGCAGAGGTCTTAGAGCAGCCATGATTTCAGTAAATGAAGGGCGCAATTTCGGATCTCTGCAAGGATTGACAATGTGAAACCATCAAGAATTCAAAGTTGGCTGATGAACAGAAAAAGAATTTTCTGCTTGTTTACCAATGCCTTGAATATCTTTAATTAAAGAAAAGATATTGAAAAAAAAAACTAACATAAGCAACTTAGGGCTTGTTTGGTTCAGCGATTTCAGAGGACAGGGCGTTGCTTTCAATTTACTAATGGGAAAGAGTGATAATAAAATAACTCTCAAACAGTTACATATACACGGAAACACCATGACATTAGGAAACAAAACTAATTATACCAAGTAATAAAGTTTTGTCTTGGTCGTCTATTTTCTAGTAGACTATAGATAGTAGATATAGGCATATAGATGTACAATTAGTAGACCAAG